CAGACATACATACATACATACAGACATACATACATACATACATACATACATACAGAACACGATACATACATACATAGATCATACATACAGACATACATACATACATACATACAGACATACATACATACATACATACATACATACATACATACATACATACAGATCAGACATACATACAACATACATACATACATACAGACATACATACATACATACATACATACATACATACATACATACATACATACATACATACATACAACACTACATACATACATACATACAGACATACATACATACATACATACATACATACAGACATACATACATACAGACATTACAGACAGACATAACATACATACATACATACATACATACATACAAGACATACATACATACATACATACATACATACATACATACATACATACATACATACATACATACATACATACATACATATACAGACAGACATACATACATACATACATACCATACATTAATACAGACATACATGACATAAAAGACATACATACATAACATACATACATACATACATACATACATACATACAGACACACATACATACATACATACATACATACAATACATACATACATACATACATACACATACATACATACAAGACATACATACATACATACATACATACATACAGAATACATACATACATACATACATACATACATACAGACATAGACATACATACATACATACAATACATACATACATACATACAGACATACATACATACATACATACCATACATACATACATACATACATACATACATACATACATACATACATACATACATACATACATACATACATACATACATACATACATGCTACATACATACATACATACATACATACATACATGCTGATGCACTTTTCGTTTGGTTTTATAACTTTTCCTGATATTGCACTAAAAGAAAGAAGCTGTTAGAAAAATTCCGCGCAGCAAGGTAAGAGAGGCCCACCGATCGTACAAGAAGTCACGGTAACAAGCATAAGACTGGCATTATTAACTTTGAAGTTCTGATGGTTATATCGAAAGAAAGATTTTAGCACCTATGGACGTGTCTGGAGTTCAGTAGGGATAACAGACTTCATAAGGCATAACTCATAACTTAATTTGACTAATCGAACAAACTGTGAACACGTTAACGTATGACTTTCATGTGAGATTGTTATTTTGCATCTGTGCGCTAACGACAGTTAAACGACGGCATAAAGATAAGACAGGTTGGAAATTTATTGCTCAGTTTGTTTTCTCCTATTTTATGGAAGTTTTTAACCATACAGTTTCTAGTCACTGGCAAGGAACGTTTTTTTATTGTTATTTTCACACACTCATTGACATTTTTAATATGTATATGTAATCCCCGAGTGTAATTTATTATTCATCTGCCTACGTGTTAATATCTTTAACTAAACGTCATAACTGATGTCCTGGCTATATAGGAGCAGCTGGGCCAAATGAGTAAAAACCATTCGTCTAACCAGCGACAGTGTCAATATGCTTCATCTGCTCTGTTATGGGAGGTAAGTAAACGGGTTCAAATAATTTAAATCCCCATCCTGGCTGTCGTCAGGGGCCCTTATATAACCTAACGGATGAACTGGGATTAGTGGCATGGTGTGGATTCCAACCAAATGGAATGATGGCACTTTGTGTCACCAGGTGTTTATCGCTCGTTGTATGGTCCTGCCAACAGTTTTTTTTTGTTTTTGTTGGGGGGGGGGGGGGGTTTAGCTCCTTCACCTTGATAAAACAAGTCAACAAATTTTTAAAAGTTTTTTGTATCAGAAAAGAAATAGATGATCTTAACTAAATGAGCTGTGCCGAAAATGAAAATGACATTACAAATGTGCCATTAGTTTGCTTAATTACGATCAGAGTAGATACTGCAATATTATAGACATAAAAGCGTGCTGAACAGTGATACCTGCTGGGCTCAGAACACTGACTTGTCCAACGAAAAACGTGTGGTTGGTCACTAGAGCAATTTTATGGCAGCGAAAGAGATAGGATCCGCCACGATTGTCAGAACTGTTCAGATGGAGAGGGCCTGGCCTGAGGGCCTCATTTTCGGCATCCGAAAAATCTTTACATAAATTATGCGTTAGCTTTTTGCCGATTTCCCTGATGAATATATGTTTGCGTCCCTTACAGATCATAGCACAGAGTACGTTTCAGGAGTCCCGAGTAAAGGCTTCCCTAATCTGAAAAGAACCTTTAAGAATCTAAACTGACAGATGGGGTCTGGATAACGAATGTACATGTTTTGCACTAAGTTCGGGAGTATTCCCTGGTGCAAAAAAAAAAAAAAACGTGCAGTGTAAATCGCCGGGATTTGCACTCTGGCGAGTGTCTCCCTTAGAGTGCCGTCTGTGTATTAGACTACTCTAGGCTTCTCGCCAAAGATCCTTTTGGTGTCTGGATTAGAGTGGAGGATGTCCAAGTGGCGAATGAGTAATTTGGAAGCAGCTACATTGTTGGGATGGAAAGTTACTATCAGTTCAAGTCTATCACTAGTGGAGTTACGCTCGACTGCAGATCCAAGAGTCGTGGTTTGTCGCCACTGCAAAATCGGCCCATTTTGCGACGCTCAAGGTTAACGGCTAACCATTCAGTGAAATCAGGACCGCGTTAGCATCTCTCTCTCTCTCTCTCTCTCTCTCTCTCTCTCTCTCTCTCTCTCTCTCTCTCTCTCTCTCTCTATTTCTCTCTCTATTTCACTCTCTCCCTCTCTTTCTTTCTCTCTCTTTCACTCTCTCGCTCTCTTTTTCTTTCTCTCCCTCTCTTTCGCTCTCTCTCTCTCTATCTCTATTTCTCTCTCTCCCTCTCTCTCTTTCTCTCCCACTCTTTTCTTGTCTCTCTCCCTTTATATATATATATATATATATATATATATATATATATATATATATATATATATATATATATATCATTCATACATCTTTAATCCTTTAGCCCATTTACATCAACTAGGTGACCGCAAAAAAAAATCCATGTTGCTGCTAAATATTTCTGCCCAGTCATTTAAACGGGTACAGAAGGGAGTTTTGCTCTCTCAGTAAAACCTTTTAGCCTTTTAGTGGAGGTAAGGACAGTATTGGGGAGAACTGTGAAAATGATACATTAAATATTTCAAGTGCTAATGGATAAGTTTAGAAAAAACAAAACATATGATTATATTGATACTTCGAAATATGCACGATAAACCAGAAGGAGAAAAGAAAGCCTTTTTAGGCATTTTAGCACATACATTTTGAAGCCTTTTTTTTTTTCACTGTAGCTCTAGAAAGTGAGCTCTTGCCAGGGCTTATGTTGTTGCATGTTCAGAAGTGATGTCAAATATCGCAGTTTTTGCATTTGTATTGCTGTAAATGTTGGAAATAAACACTAACACGTTACTTCCACCTGGTAGCACAGGCGTCGGAACATAGAGGCTTAGACTCCAAGATGCCCCTGCCCCATATGGGAGGGTAGTGTTTGGAGCACACCCCCCCCCCCCCCCCGTCCGTTCTTTGTCCTCGGCTGCTGAACTTCTCAGGCACCTTGAGTTCTCCTCCCCTTTTCTTTAAAAGGTGTCTTTTTTTTTCTTTCAAAGCATTTATGCCCGGCATGACAACGTGTACTTGTTCGCAAATTATTCCTCCCCACGGCGCTTAACGACAGAAGTGGTTTATGATGATGATGCCCACAAACCATTAATTTCAAAAATATTGTTATATTCAATTTTTACTCACCATACAATTAGTGTTATTATTATTGTGTATATAAACAAGGTTTAATTCTCTTGAGTCCCCTGCTTGCTTAAAAAAAATAGTTAGGGACTCAGCCCACTTTAACCCCTCCTAACTCGCGCCAGGTTTTCTTTCGGCGTTGCTTGTTCTTCCAGAGACCAGTAGAGCCAACGTAAGGTCAAGGCCACTTTCTCAGGCTATGACAGGTACTGGGTATCTGCTGCCCAGACCCATATTTTTAAACCAGGCATAACTAAGTTTGTGATGTGGTCAGTATGATGCCGGTCATCTGAACTTCTTAGAACTTTTTGTGTAAGTTGGGTCGGACTTAAAGCCAAGGTCATCAGAAACAAAACAAAAAGATCTCCTTTTCAATAGAGGTTTGAACATATGATCACATTGTCGGTAGAAAACCATGTTAGTTACTGCACTTTTACTGATCCCACAAATAGACTGAGGAAGTAACTGTGCATGTTAACTTCATTTTATTTCGTAGCTTAAAACAACAAACTGTTGGTCGGGGTTCAGACCTCATACACAAACGGTCACTCCCTAATTGCTCAATTTTCGCGCCAGGGAAAACCACACACAATGCCTATCACTGCGTAACACGATTAGTTAGAGAGACGACAGTTCAAGCATAATCCAACAGTTCGCACACATGCATCAGGCACCTGGCATAGTGTTCAACGCCAACTGTGTGTCAGTAAAATTGTGATTCATAATTTGTGGAAGCAGCAGTCTACACAGTCAACAATACTGTATAAGGCACACTGCTAATTATGTGGATAATTCGCTATTTTCCGAACATGCAATTAACAACATATATCTCCTGGGGTCCAGACAAGCATTCTCCATGCAATCCGCAGCTCACAGTGCCGTACCGTGCATTAAACTGTCTACATGGCCAACGGAACCATTTACACCTTCACCTCGGTTGTTGTCCCGTGAAGTTTCAGGCGTGGGGTTAAATCCCTTTCTTTTTAAGGATTACTAAGAATAACAAGGTCAATGAAGTGAAGTTGGAGTAAGTTAAATAAAGAGAGGGTGAGAGACATTAAAAGTTTTTGTATTGTATAATCTTGCTACATAGGCCTTAGATCTCTCTCTTTCTGTTGCTTTGATTCAGGGAAGGGTTAGCCAACAACAAAATATATTAAATATTTAATAATATTTCTTTACAGAAATAAGGGATGACTATCAAGGGAAAGACAAAAAGACATGAGTGTTCCAATCTATAAACCGGTATCTCAGAAACTGTTGCCCCTTGACAACCGGCCGCTGCCACCCAGTCTGAAGGTGCAGAAGGAGGTGGATACACAATGTGGGCTCTGTACATGCCAACCTGCTTGCATGCAGCCACTGGCAACAATTGGAATCTTCACGGGTTTCTACAGCTTTGCCAATATGTTGGCTCAAACCCTCAATTATTACGTAAATTCTCAGGTAGGTGGGTGTTCTCTAATGTCTTAGGTAGGTGGTGTTTTATGATGTCTTAGTTAGGTGGGTGTTTTCTGATGTCTTAGGTAGGTGGGTGTTTTCTGATGTCTTAGGTAGGTGGGTGTTTTCTGATGTCTTAGGTAGGTGGGTGTTTTCTGATGTCTTAGGTAGGTGGGTGTTTTCTATGTCTTAGGTAGGTGGGTGTTTTCTGATGTCTTAGGTAGGTGGGTGTTTTCTGATGTCTTAGGTAGGTGGGTGTTTTCTGATGTCTTAGGTAGGTGGGTGTTTTCTGATGTCTTAGGTAGGTGGGTGTTTTCTGATGTCTTAGGTAGTGGGTGTTTTCTGATGTCTTAGGTAGGCTGGTGTTTTATGATGTCTCAGAAAGAGGATGTTTGTGATGTGACATGTAGGTGGTGTTTTATTATGTCTCAGAAAGAGGATGTTTGTGATGCGACGTGTAGGTGGTGTTTTGTGAATTCTCTGGTAGATAATGTTGTCTGATGTCTCAGGTAGGTGGAATTTTGTGATGCCTCAGACAGGTGGTGTGGGAACTCTTATGTACGGGGCACAGATTGTGTCCTTAGACAAACGCCAAAGGGGATAGACTCAATGTCTTCATAAGATAAGACAGTTTGTGCAGGATCAGATAAATTTGAGATGTGGACTGCGAGTCCTGGTAGACGCATGGGCGACCTGGGCATGATGATGATGATGATGACAGTGATGGGGTGGTGGTGATGGGGATGATGAGGTGGTGGTGATAGGGATGATGAGGTGGTGGGGATGATGAGGTGGTGGTGATGGGGATGATGAGGTGGTGGTTATAGGGATGATGAGAAGGTGGTGGTGGGGATGATGAGGTGGTGGTGATAGGGATGATGAGATGGTGGTGGTGATGGGGATGATGAGGTGGTGGTGATAGGGATGATGAGGTGGTGGTGATAGGGATGATGATATGGTGGTGGTGGGGATGATGAGGTGGTGGTGATGGGGATGATGAGGTGGTGGTGATGGGGATGATGAGGGTCAGATTATGAGGTGGTGGTGGGGATGATGAGAGTCTTGATGATGAGGTGGTGGATGGGGATGATGAGGTGGTGGTGGTGGGGATGATGAGGTGGTGGTGATGGGGATGATGAGGTGGTGGTGGTGGGGATGATGAGGTGGTGGTGGGGATGATGAGGTGGTGGTGATGGGGATGATGAGGTGGTGGTGGTGGGGATGATGAGGTGGTGGTGATGGGGATGATGAGATGGTGGTGGTGGTGGGGATGATGAGGTGGTGGTGGTGGGGATGATGAGGTGGTGGTGGTGGGGATGATGAGGTGGTGGTGGGGATGATGAGAGTGATGATGATGAGGTGGTGGTGATAGGGATGATGAGGTGGTGGTGATAGGGATGATGAGGTGGTGGTGGTGATGATGAGAGGGATGATGATGCAGTGGCGGTGATGATGAGGTGGTGGTGATGATGGTGGATATGATGGTGGCGATGATGGTGGTGATGATGGTGGTGATGATGGTGATGATGATGGTGATGATGGTGGTGATGATGAGGCGGTGGTAATAATGGTGTTGATGACGGTGATGATGATGATCCTGGTTGTGACGTTGGTGGTAACGATAATGGTGATGATAATGATTGTGTCGATGATGATAACGATGAGGGTGACGATGATAATGATGGTGTCGATGATGATAACGATGAGGGTGACGATGATAAAGGTGATGATGATGGTGATCATGATGGTGATGATGATGGTGATAATGATGGTGATGATGATGGTATTGATAACAGTGATGCAAATGGTGGTCGCGGTAGTGATAATGGTGTTGATGACGGTGATGATGATGATCATGGTTGTGACGTTGGTGGTAACGATAATGGTGATGTTGATAAGGATGGTGGTGGTGTTGATAAATATGGTGATAATGTTCGTGGTTGTGATATTGGCGAGGGAAATGGGGGTGGTGATTGTGGTTGTGACGATGATAATAGTGATTGTGGTTATGGTGATGATGTTGGTGTGATGATGGCGTTGGTGATGGTGAGGTGATAGTGGTGGTGGTGGTGATGATGGTGACGATGATGTTGATTTTGACATTAAGGACAAGAATAAATTGACGACACCAGACAAACAACTAAATGACTCACAATTAGATATGGTTTTATCCATCTTACAACAGATAACCACACTAGAAAGACAGTTTGGCTTCAGTTCATACTACACAGGTATCATTATGGCCGCCAACGACATCGGTTTCCTGGTCTGTGTTCTGTTCGCAGCCCACCTCGCCACCAAAGTCCACGTCGCCAGGTCGCTAGGTAAGTCATTAAGAAAGACACACCTGTTTTATTTCAAAATAAAAAGATACTACGCCAGAAGCCCATAGACGCGCTGATAACCTCAGAAAGTCCACTCTTACTGTTGGTTGGAGGAGGTTCAGACGTTGAGGTTCAACAGCTGATAGAAGAGAAGTCTAGGCGAGGAGATGTGATTATATTCGTCTACCTACGTGATAGTATCTTTATCCTACTAAACGTTATAACATCAGTCCTGGCTATAGAGGAACAGATGGGTCTAATGTTAAAACTATTAAGCTGTCCAGCGGGAATAGTAATGTGCTTTCTCTGTCTTGACATGGGACGCCTCATTGTATAAGCCTGTCACTATGTGGAACGCGATTTGTTGTTGTTGTTGTTGTTGTTGTTAATTTTAACGCTTCCCCTCGGCTGTTGTTGGGAGCCCTAGTGTAACCTAACGGTTAAAGTGGGTTTCTGGGACTTGTGCCCGGGTATTCTCATCCAAATCGTGGCACCTTGTGTCACCGGGTGTTTATCGCTAGTAATGGATTAGTGAGCAGAAATAGAAAGATTGGATTTGTGTTCATAGCAAAGCAGGGGAGAGAAGGATGGCTACGGAAAGCTTGGTAAACGGCATTATCACATCCGGCTTGATAATGGAAGCTTGGGTGATAGCGGAGAAAATTCTAGCCACATATGTTATCATGGTATCAGATTCTTAGAGCATGCTTAAGAGGGTGGGGTCCGTTTTACTTTGAATAGAATGGGTCGCATTATTCCAGAGGTCACAGGGAATTGAGGGTCACATGGTTATTTTCGCCAGGCTTTACGGTCGTGTTTGAGAATGGGCAAGCAGATAAGCTGGCTGGGCTGGCTTATTTCGGGGTGTCTGCAACTGCGTAAGGCAGAGGTGATCTCTCGCCTTTGGAGCGAGGTAACGAGTAAACTGGAAGATAGTGAAACCCGGCACCTGGGGAGGATGTTGCAGCAGGGACTGTCTGCGGGCTTTGGGTGCCATTCGAGACTCAGAGGACAACAGTTACCATCAGTATGGAGAATTTTTTGTTGACTATTGAGAAGGGAGGCGGAGCTAATATGTGCTTATCCTGAATGCTGTGATGCCCAGTCTTTACCCAGATAAATCCAGGGAACAGATTGTTACATATATAACTCAACAACTTAGGGTTTATCGGCTGTAAACTAGTGTAGAAAGTGCTGGTTGTTCGTCTACGTTTTGGTCATATTCCAGCCTTTAGTTTTACATGCACATCCGTTTTACAGATCTGGGTTATTTGAAAGCACCAGACTGTTGGTTCCTCGCATCTGAAACAGATACATTCTGAGTTGTAAGTATTTTAGTTGGCAAGTTTTTCTGACTACGCTGGGGTAGGAGACTAGCCACGTCTCAACGTTGAGGAAAACATCATTTGTTAATCATCATCATCATCGACTAGACGCTGGCCTGCGGATCCGAAGGTCCGTAGTTCAAATCCGCATTAGGCAGGATTTTTGTTTTGATTTGAACCATGAGCTTGGTGCCCAGGTGGAGATGCCGTGAGTGGGTACCTGCTAAAGTGTTGGAAATCAAAGATGTCTGCCTTGTTGGTGATCACATCTTCAAAGAAAGACCTTTTAACCTATACAAATTAGTGCAACCCCACATGCCCGATGCTCCACTGGCGTTTAATCTGGTAGTCTGGTAATCTGGTAATCTGGTAATCTGGTAATCTGGTAATCTTAGTTTCAGCTTTATAGCACACAGGTCACCACATGGTTGCTCCGCTCCTGTGCCAAAGAAAAATCACACAGAATGTTTCACGCAGTTCCTTGTGGAAAGACTGACAGACTGCTGTCTCAGCATATGCACTAGCATACACACGCATTAAAAGCATACGGTAGCCATCCGAAGTGCTAACACAAACAGTCCGACATTAGAAATGCAGTTCATCATGGATGGTAGCAGAAGTCACCAACAGATCAGCAGTTGCACTGGCGATCAATTTTAATCACATAATGGCACCACCAATATTGCGACAAAAAGCATCGCGCCATTTTCTGAATCTACAATTTACACCACTAGGTTGTTTACAGAAGAAAAACATTCCAAATGAAATCCGCAGCTCACAGTGTCACGTCATGCACTCAACTCAAAAGCTGGGCGACGACACTATCCTTTCAGTCTACAAATGGGCCTCTATTTACATTTTACCTTTATATCTGTAAGTATTGTAACCTGATAGTTTAATGACGTATATCTGCAGGGGTTACAATGATCTTGTTTGGTATCTCTGGTATATCCTGTTCCCTCCCCCACTTCCTGTTTGGAGCATCCGTCAACAAAGATCCAACAACAGACAACAGCAACAGCACAGAATCCAACTTCAGCAAACAGCCGTTTGTAGGCAGCTTTTGTGACATGTTCAACATCAGCGGGGATCCTTGTGGGATCGATGCAGGTAAAGTTCCCACATCTCCTGGAGAAGTGGTTCAACTGGTTTTCTCACTTTCTGATCGGAGAAGATGAAGAGTGAGTTATTGACTGCGTCAGTGATGAGAGAATGACTTAGTGACTGCATCAGGGATAAAGAGTGAGTTAGCGACTGTGTCAGTAATGAAAGAGTGAGTTAGCGGACTCGTGTGAGCTGTCGAGCTGTGACAAAAGCCATGTGTCAGATCGGACAAAGGGAAGTCGGACATCTGACGTTAGACAGGAGACATCTAATGGAATGACTTTTTAGAATCTTAGTGTTGTAGGCATATTCTAATAATGACCGATAGCATGTGATAATGTGTTTCGTTAGGGTATTGCAGTCTTTCTGTGTTTTGTAGCGTTTGATGGTGACAGTGATTTGTATATTGTGTCACCTAAGTAGTGTTGAAGGATTCTGATAGCCAGGGTCGGTCTTAGACTGGCTGTTGAGATACTGTCTACTCCTGCACACTGTTCCTTACACTATGCAGTCACTGCTCGCTGCTGGTGGAGTCCATTGGCATAGGAAAAGAGCGTATCAGGAGTACTGTGGGTTTGGACCTGAGTATTATCCATCGGGATGGGACGGCGTGCATATTGATTTGTAAAGCCATCACAGCCTGCGTTTCAGGTAAGGGTACCCACATCTCCTGACGTCAACTGCCTTATGTTAGTTGGTGCTTTACCTGAAAGATTGTTGTGTGTGCTCTGTGGGTGTTCGGTGTTTTGGATAGATTGTCTGTCAGGAGCCAGCACAGCGAGCCACGTACAATCAGGGTAGATCAGAGGTCTGTGTCAAAGAAAAAGAGGGGAAAGATAGGAGTGAAAGAAAAATGAAGAAGATAGTGAAGGGAGAGAGAATGAGACATAGTGATAGGGAAAGGGGTAGGAGGGAAAGAGAGAGTAAGATGGAGAGGAGGTGATTGATTAAAAAATAGAAGGAGGTAGCAAGTAAAAAGAAGGCTGAAAGAGAAAAAGAACGAAAAAAAAGAAAGAAAGAAAGAAAGAAAGACAGACAGACAGAGAGACAGACAGACAGACAGACAGACAGACAGACAGACAGACAGACAGTCAGACAGACAGACAGACAGACAGACAGACAGACAGACAGACAGACAGACAGACAGACAGACAGACAGACAGACAGACAGACAGACAGACAGACAGACAGACAGACAGACAGACAGACAGACAGACAGACAGACAGACAGACAGACAGGACAGACAGACAGACAGACAGACAGACAGACAGACAGACAGACAGACAGACAGACAGACAGACAGACAGACAGACAGACAGACAGACAGACAGACAGACAGACAGACAGACAGACAGACAGACAGACAGACAGACAGACAGACAGACAGACAGACAGACAGACAGACAGAAAGAAAGAAAGAAAGAAAGAAAGAAAGAAAGAAAGAAAGAAAGAAAGAAAGAAAGAAGAAGAAGAAGAAGAAGAAGAAGAAGAAGAAGAAGAAGAAGAAGAAGAATAAGAAGAAGAAGAAGAAGAAGAAGAAGAAGAAGAAGAAGAAGAAGAAGAAGAAGAAGAGACAGAGAGAGATAGATAAAGACAGAGAGATATAGAAAGAGAGTACATTCCATAACACCGAATGAACAGCCCCTATTCGTTGATCTCTAGCCCTGAACACAGCTGAGCAGAAAGCTGGGACAGCCTCAGAGAAAGTCTCCCAGATCTCCTTCCTCATCATCGTGCTCGGGATGTGTCTGCAGGGGTTCGGCAAAGCTCCCAATACTTCATACGCCCTGGTGTACGTGGATGACAACACCAAGAAAGTAAACACAGGCTTCTACATAGGTTAGTATCCTTTCAAAAACCGGCACTGCATTATGGCACTAGGCTGGTCGAGGGGTAACGGCTGGCTCTCATGCGTGAGACCCTGGTTCGACCCTCAGTAAGGTCCAGCGATAGTTTGTTGGTATTCCTTGTGGTTGCCAGATACAATGTGCAACGGTCTTCAGCTCTTCACTGCCAATGAAGAGCGCATGTCTTACGTTGACACCTTGCACTATAATCTTTGACTTAGTTTTGTGTGTGTGTGTGTGATTGTTTGTTCATAACACAACATGCGTGAGCATATGCAAATAGTAAACATTGCAGTTTCTCCATTGAGTAGGGTTATGTGACTAGACATCCCCTCGTGGGATGCAATTTTTCGTTACTGTAAAGCCCCATCCTGGCTTTATCCAGGGGCCGCAATATAGCCTAGCCATAAATATTTCCTTATGGCTAAACGCGGTTTCCGCGATCTCTCCACGGGTGATTCTAATCCACATGGTGGCACTTTGTGTCATCGGGTGTTTTTTTTTTTTTGTCTTCACTAGATAGGTGTATACCCAATCTTCTTGATGCCTTGGTAAGATCAATAAAAGCAATATACAGAAGAGGCATTTAGTGTTAGACCTATATGTTATATCTCCCCAGATTACTGTCCTCCCAACTTCTCACATCACTGTCCTCATATCTCCTCAGATTACTGTCCTCCCAACTTCTCACATTACTGTCCTCATATCTCCTCAGATTACTGTCCACCCAACTTCTTACATCACTGTCCTCAAATCACCTAAGAATACTGTCCTCTCAACTTCTTGCGTCACTGTCCTCATATCTCCTCAGATGACTGTCCTCTCAACTTCTCACGTCACTGTCCGCATATATTCTTAGATTACTGTCCTCTCAACTTCTTACACGACTTGAAGTGGTTTTCCCTCACCGTAATGCCCTCGCATCTCTAAGCTCCTGTTTTTTTTTGTCATCACATCTCCTCGCAGTTCTAAGCTTACATCTCAGTTTATTGTCCTTGCATTCTGACGTGTTACTGTCTTGATGCCTCATCTTACTGTCCTGACATATCACCTACTGTCCTCATTCAAACCTCACCTTACATTCCCTACATTCCTACACTTTACTTTCCTGACATCTCACTTGACTGTTCTCGTATACTCAAACTTTACTGACCTCGTATACTCTCCCTTTACTGTTCTCGTGTACTCTCACTTTACTGTCCTCATATACTCCCACTTTACTGTCCTCGTATACTCTAACTTTACTGTCCTCATATACTCTCACTTTACTGTCCTCATATACTTTCACTTTACTGTCCTCGTATACTCCCACTTTACTGTCCTCGTATACTCTCACTTTACTGTCCTCATATACTCTCACTTTACTGTCCTCATATACTCTCACTTTACTGTCCTCGTAAACTCTCACTTTACTGTCCTCGTATACTCTCACTTTACTGTTCTCATATACTCCCACTTTAATGTCCTAATATACTCTCACTTTACTGTCCTCGTATACTCTCACTTTACTGTCCTCGTATACTCTCACTTTACTGTCCTCGTATACTCTCACTTTACTGTCCTCGTATACTCCAACTTTACTGTCCTAATATACTCTCACTTTACTGTCCTCGTATACTCTCACTTTACTGTTCTCATATACTCCCACTTTAATGTCCTAATATACTCTCACTTTACTGTCCTCGTATACTCTCACTTTACTGTCCTCGTATACTCTCACTTTACTGTCCTCGTATACTCTCACTTTACTGTCCTCGTATACTCCAACTTTACTGTCCTAATATACTCTCACTTTACTGTCCTCGTATACTCTCACTTTACTGTCCTCATATACTTTCACTTTACTGTCCTCGTATACTCTCACTTTACTGTCCTCGTATACTCTCACTTTACTGTCCTCGTATACTCTCACTTTACTGTCCTCATATACTTTCACTTTACTGTCCTCGTATACTCCCACTTTACTGTCCTAATATACTCTCACTTTACTGTCCTCGTATACTCTCACTTTACTGTCCCCATATACTCTCACTTTACTGTCCTCGTAAACTCTCACTTTACTGTCCTAATACACTCATACTTTACTGTCCTTGTAAACTCTCACTTTACTGTCCTGGTATACTCTCGTTCGTTCGTTCGTTTGTTCACCTTTATGTCCTCACATCTACAGGTATCATCGCTGCGACTTCTGTACTGGGCCCAGTGTCGGCATTTCTTTTGGGCGGCGTCTTCAGCCGGATATACGTCACACTGGAAGGTAGACTAGTGTGGTTGATTATTCGTTACATTCTTTTTTTCCAAAGTCGTGCGCAACTTTACAATCTATAATTCAGTACACTGTTGAAATTTAGCACGCAACCTGTTAATAATCACAATCTTATATAAAAATTATTATAATGTAAACAAACCCAGAGTTTTATTCTCCTTTATTTTTGGTATATGAAATAAATCATGCCGATTTAAAGTGTTTACTTAGCATGTTTACAGTAACAGAGTGACCGGAATTTTTAACACATCAAATTACACAAGTTTTAGACGTAACCTGTGTCAAAAAGTGCGTTTTACTCGCAGGTGGTCAATCCGTCCCATTAGCCTCCAGCGTGCTTGACCAACATAATAGTTCATTGTATGCGGGATAGGCTACCAAAATAATCACCATACAGCGCTGCGCATTTCCATAACAACCTCTACGTTTCAGTTTCTTCTTCTTCTTCTGTCTTTCTATCCCCCAATGGAGCATAGGCCCTCAACCAACTCACGCCAAGTCCTTCTATCCTTCACCATTGCATGGAGCTCTCCCCATGTCCTTCCAATCTTTCTAACCTTATTCTCCCCTTGGGTTCAGCTCTCTTCTCCTTATTCTCACCTCTGTGTTTTTGGCCTTCTGTTTATTCTATTTCGTAGGGCCACAGAAATTATTATTCCGACAAAGTTAAAAGAAATTCCCCGACTTCCGTACAATTGGAACTGACTATAGTTTTTAAAGTCCACATTCACCGTTAAAGTATTAAAGTTCGCAACATGGTCATGTTAAAATACATTTCAAATTAAAAACGCAGCTCACAGTTACGCGCTATGCACTTAACTCAGTAACTGGATGACAAAACTGTATCTTTTCAGTCTACAAATGGAGAAAAATGCAACTCTTCATTCAGCGCATCTATTTCTATTTGCAGAGAAGATTTATAAACAGAGAATAGTTGACTTCTAATCATTGGAAAAAAACTCATTTGCCGGATGAATTTTAAAGAATCTGAATCTAATATGTCTGCATTGTTTGGGATATTGAAGTCTTCAAATCGGTTTTTAAAATTATGCTCACAGTTTTTTTAAAATAATTCTGTCATCTGATTGGCTAAAGTTGCTGAGTCCAGAGTTGAAGCAATGAAGTCATTCAGGTTTGGGAAATGAAGAAATGTAGCTGTTTGGAGATCCCTTACAAATAAATGAAACCTGTTACATTATGATGATTATGACGATGATGATGACGGTGATAATAATGATGATGATGATAATAATGATGATGATGACGACGATGATGATGACGATGATGATCATGATGATGATGACGATGATGATGACGATGATGATGACGATGATGATGACGATGATGATGACGATGATAATGACGATGATGATGACGATGATGATGACGATGATTATGACGATGATGATAATGATGATGATGATGATGATAATGATGATCATAATGATGATAATGATGATGATCATGATGATGATAATGATGATGACGATGATGATAATGCTGATGATCATGATGATTATAATGATGATGATGATTTGACATCTGTTCCTCTCGTAAACAGATCAAAATAGAAAAGATACATGCTCCGTCAAAGCCTTTTCAGCTGATCCAGAAATCATTTATAACAAGTTGGAGAATTTTCAGTGCGAATATCTGTGGAAGTGTAATTAACAACCAGGATATGCTGAAGACACAGTGTTACTAGCAGAGTGTGAGCAGGAGTTACGGAACTTAGTAGAATAGTCAAACAGACGCAGCTCTAAATTTGGATTAGAAATTGATATTCAAAATATAGAACCCCCCCCCCCCCCCCCTTAAAAAAACGAACAATGGAAAGGATCAGCCCAAAAAAAATGAATATCATTGTAAACTGGGAACACAATTACAGATTGTTCCTATTATGGTGGCAGAAGTGAAACAGAAATTAACCAGAGAATAAAAATAGCAAAATATATGAGAGATAAACAGCCGTTTAAAATGGCTTTACAGATGTGAATATACAATGAAATGCAAGCTCTGTGAAGAGATAAAGAATAAAAAGACGAATAAAATCATTTTGCCATATTCAAAGGCATTGCACTCTTATTACAAAGAAAGAAAAACCATAGCAGAGGGAAATCATTAAGGCAACAGAGAAAAAAGCAGACAACGATACACAGCTGAGTGAAATATAAAGAAATATATACGAACAACAGTTTGAAAGTGTGTGCATCCAGTACAAATAACATATTGTGTTGGAAATCCATTGCAGTCAACCTTCACTGTGAAGACGGCGCCTGATTTATTTATTTAACATTTATCCTGTGAAGAATCATGAAGTAAACCATAATAATTGCCTCTGTTCTGTATATGTTAGCACATTTTTTTTATCAAATGGTAAGCCGTCATTTTTTCAGTGTATCCTAAAACATATTAGGGAAAGTTGGTTTAATTTGTGAACATCTCTTTCTACCAGTCACTCAGTTAACGCCACGTCATCCCAGGTGGATCGGAGCCTGGTGGTTGGGTTTTGTCGTCTTTGGTCTCCTGGCTGTGATTGCCGCCATCCCGCTCTTCTGTTTCCCGCGGAAACTGCCCAGAAGCAAGGTTAAGGACGCTCGTGGGAACGATACAACGTCAGCTGGGTAGGTAGAGAAGTATTTTGTTTTTCATATTGTTGTTGTTATTGTTGCAGCCATTGTTGTTGTCATCGTTGTTGCTATAGTTGTTGCTATAGTTGTTGTCCTTGTTGCTGCTGTTATTGCTATTGTTGCTGTGGTTGTTGTCAGTGTTGTTGCTCTTGTTGTTGCTGTAGTTGTTGTCATTGTTTTTGCTATTGTTGTTGCTGTTGTGTAATAGTCGTTTTCATTGTTTTTGTGGTGACTTTCTACTATGATGACTTTCCCTCTATAATGGCTATCTGTGACTATCTGGTGTGATGACTTTCCCTCTATAGTGGCTATCTGTGACTATCTGGTGTGATGACTTTCCCTCTATAATGACTTCCTGTTGTGATGACTTTACCTCTATAATGACTTCCTGTTGTGATGACTTTACCTCTATAATGACTTCCTGTTGTGATGACTTTACCTCTATAATGACTTCCTGTTGTGATGACTTTACCTCTATAATGACTTCCTGTTGTGATGACTTTACCTCTATAATGACTTCCTGTTGTGATGACTTTACCTCTATAATGACTTCCTGTTGTGATGACTTTCCCTCTATAATGACTTCCTGTTGTGATGACTTTCCCTCTATAATGACTTCCTGTTGTGATGACTTTCCCTCTATAATGACTTCCTGCGGTGATGACTTTCCCTCTATAATGACTTCTTGCTGTTATGACTTTCCCTCTATAATGACTTCTTGCTGTGATGACTTTCCCTCTATAATGACTTCCTGTTGTGATGACTTTCCCTCTATAATGACTTCCTGCTGTGATGACTTTCCCTCTGTAATGACTTCCTGTTGTGATGACTTTCCCTCTATAATGACTTCCTGCGGTGATGACTTTCCCTCTATAATGACTACCTGCGGTGATGACTTTCCCTCTATAATGACTTCCTGCGGTGATGTCAAATAACACATCGCTCGCCCGGTGCTGAGCATATTCTTCTATAAATTAGTTGGCACAGGATCGGAGACTTGGATGGGTCCTGATCCCACAGTTCACTTTCACTTCCGCCTGATGTTTCCCTCTTTGGCTGAGCGGATCTAGTGGTTTGGGTTGATTATAGCAACTCTGCCTCGATGCCGGTGGAAACCACGACTCAGAGAACAGGTAGGCAAGTTTGTTTGTCACTGTGCCACTCGGTTTTCACCAGTGTCCCACTGTTCATTATAATCTGTTTGTCAGCCATTGAGATTTTGTTTTCTTTTACGTTTTCAGTTGATATCTGTTCTCTTCTATGAAACAGAAATGTTGATCTCTCAAAACCTGTACTGTCACATGATTCATTGAAACAACGCCATGGAGACAAAATCGCGAATTGCCACACAGCACCCAGTTCTAAACGGTTAGGGTTCAGATCGTTGATAAAACATTACAGAGGTAACTATTCAGATTAACTACTTATCTGTAAATGATTTATTGAATTGTGCAGTAGTAGTAGCAAGTTTGTACTTGTAGCAGTAGAAGTATTAGTAATACTAGTAGTAGTAGTAGTAGTAGTAGTAGTAGTAGTAGTAGTAGTAGTAGTAGTAGTAGTAGTAGTAGTAGTAGTAGTAGTAGTAGTAGTAGTAGTAGTGTTGTAAGTAGTTGTAGCAGAGCGAGTAGTAGTAAGTAGTAGTAGTAGTTGTTTTTGTTGTTGTGTTGTAGCAGTGGCAGTAGTCGTTGTAGCAGCCAGCAGTAGTAGCAGCAGCATCAGTAGCAGCAGCAGCAGCAGCAGCAGAAGCAGCAGTAAAAGTAGCAGCAGCAGTAGAAGTAGCAGCCGCACAACCGCCAGTAGTAGTAGTAGTAGCAGCATCAGTAGTAGTAATAGTAGCAGCAGTAGTAGTAGCAGAAGTAGCAGTTGCAGCAGCAGTAGTAGTAGCAGAAGTAGTAGCAGTAGTGGTAGTAACAGTAGTAGTAGTAAACATATTTTAGTAGTAAAAGTATAAATAATACTAGTAGTAGTAGCAGTAGTAGTAGTTGCAGTAGTTGTTGTTGTAGCTACATTAGTAATAATCTTTTTATTAAGGTAGAAGTAGCAGTAGTAGTAGTCGATGTTGTTGTTATAGCAGTAGTAGCGTTTGTTGTTGCAATTGTCGCTAGTTAAATATCAGTGGTTGTTTTTTAGCATTATGGTTGTGTCAAACGTGTTTCTAGTAGTAGTTTCATTACCACAGACAAAACTAACCATGATGCCATTTCTCCCAGAATTCATAGCGTCCCTGTGCAGACTGCTGGTCAACCCCATCTACGTGTGCTGGGTTGTCTCCTCCTGTTTCTACATTTTCATGATTGCCGGAAGTACTGCGTTTTATCCCAAGTACCTAGAGAGGGTATTTGACCTTGAGGTTCACACAGCCAACTACATCACAGGTAAGAGATTCGGTATGATCTACTATAGTCTCCCGAGCCAAACTAGGTCAAGGTCCATTGATAGACTGTGAGATAAGGATTTTATCTAGAATATTTTTCTACTGTGACCAACGGTGTTGTGAACTGTAGGTTCCAGCAATGGCTCTTGGCCTGTTGTCACAGTATTAGTGGTTCCTTATGTGAATAAAATTAATTGCGTTTGCCACTGCTGATCTATTTGTAACTGCTGCTTCCGTCGACGACGAACTGCATTTCTAATGTCGGACTGTTTGTGTTAGCACTTCTGATGGCTGCCTGAGAGGCAAGGAACCAACAGTCTGTATTCAAGAGAATGAGATCTGTAAAACTGATGCATACGCAACACTCAGGTTCTGGAGCAGGACTGCAGTTCAGTAGTGAACAAGCAACCAGAACTTTCCGCCAGTGTACAGCTGGTGAACGCAAAGAAGAAGAAGAAGAAGTTTCAAGCGACTAAGTTTATTATATTTGCCTAAGCCTATAACAGAATCATATAAAACAAGTTTAACAAATTTAGTTGCTTGGGAACCATCTTCCACTTGATCTGAAAAAACTTGAAAAAGTTCCTATTCATTTAACCGCACACTTTTCTGACAGTCCATACATACAAGTAATTATTTTCGACTTAAATGTAATTAATAATCCATAATGCATTATCAATTTATCAGTTTATAATTAGATAAGGTGTATGATATGTAGGTATGCGTGATATGTGTGATATGTATGTATAAGTGTGTGTGTGTGTATGTGTAGGCGTGTTTGTGTATGTACGATCGTGTGTATTTATGAGTGTTCGTGTACATATGTGCATTTGTGTATATATATGGGGCGTTTGTGTATGGGTTTATTTAAATGTATATGTGTGTATGTATGAGAATTTATTTTAGTGGGAGTGTATAATTTAGAGAGTGTGTATGTAAGAGTGAGAATGTATGTATATCTATATAGGTGTATGTATGTAAAGGTGTAGGTATGTATGTATGTATGTATGCGTATGCATATATGTATGTATGTATGTATGTATGTATGTATGTATGTATGTATGTATGTATGTATGTATGTATGTATGTATGTATGTATGTATGTATGTATGTATGTATGTATGTATGTATGTATGTATGTATGTATGTATGTATGTATGTATGTATGTATGTATGTATGTATGTATGTATGTATGTATGTATGTATGTATGTATGTATGTATGTATGTATGTATGTATGTATGTATGTATGTATGTATGTATGTATGTATGTATGTATGTATGTATGTATGTATGTATGTATGTATGTATGTATGTATGTATGTATGTATGTATGTATGTATGTACATACGTATGTATGTATGTATGTATGTATGTATGTATGTATGTATGTATGTATGTATGTATGTATGTATGTATGTATGTATGTATGTATGTATGTATGTATGTATGTATGTATGTATGTATGTATGTATGTATGTATGTATGTATGTATGTATGTATGTATGTATGTATGTATGTATGTATGTATGTATGTATGTATGTATGTAGTATGTATGTATGTATGTATGTATATGTATGTATGTATGTATGTATGTATGTATGTATGTATGTATGTATGTATGTATGTATGTATGTATGTATGTATGTATGTATGTATGTATGTATGTATGTATGTATGTATGTATGTATGTATGTATGTATGTAAAGGTGTAGGTATGTATGAATGTATGTATGCGTATGCATATATGTATG